TTTTTTTTTTTTTTTAAATCAGTCAATTCAAAATGGAGTGAGGGGCAGGCTGGCTTGGGGCCTAGCTGTGAAAGTGGCCAAAGCTAGGAGCGGCTGCCCTCTGCCCCAGGCGCCTCCTCACCAGGGAGCCCTCCAGGTTGAAGGTCTGAGCGTTCTGGCACAGCAGCATGACGTCCTTCTCCAGGTCATTGAGGCTGCGATACTTGTGGTTGCGGATGCGCTCCTGCGGGCAGGGTTCGAGAAGCAGCCTTACCTTGGGAATCTGCCTTGTGCCCAGGGACCCTGGGGCCGGGAGTCCCTCTGCCTCACGCGGTCACGGCCCAGTCTTCTGGGTGACTCTGTTTAGACTCGGACGCTCAGGCCCACTGAACACAAGAGCTGCCTGGCCAAAGCCCAGGCCGTGGGTGATCCTGAAGGAGCCCCAAACGCTGGCTGCCCACCGACACGACCGTGGGACCCTCTCCCCCAACCTGCACTACGGGTCTCTTGAGGCCACGAGGAACCCCAAGAGCCCGTGACTGGGTCCCTGGTCAGACGGTCTGGGTTCTGCCCAGTTTGCTCCTGGTCATGTCTCACACACTCCCCGTAGCTCCCAGAGGGGGGTGCCCATGGAAGGTACCGGGTCAGACCCCCCAAACACTAATGTAGGCACATCCCTGCAGAGAAACCCCAGTTCCCACATCCCACGCCAGGGTTACCTTTATCTTCTTGAAGTCCACAGGCTTGCGGATGAGCTCGTAGTACTCGGGCAGTTCCTTGCGGGACGGCAGCTGGATGAACACCTCGCTGAGCTGACGTCCACTACTACTGCAAGGCGGGACACAGTGGGCGTCACTCACAGGCCCCGCCTGCTGGGAGAGCCCCCACTTGGCCAGCACCCATTGTTTGAGGACAAAAAGGGTGAGAGAGTCAATGCGTGCAGGAGTGATTTCCTGTGAGTTCTGAAACATTCTCTCGAGAGGCGACCATGCACAGAGAGGCCGGGGATGCATCTGAATCCAGCCCCTGCCCTCACCCAATCCTCCCTGCCCCTGGAGGGAATGTCGCCAAATGCCGTAAAAGCCTTGGCACTCGAAGGAAGCAGAATCACAATTATAATTATGTATGATACAAACATCTGCTTATGTTGCAGTGAACTTCAGAGAATTTAGCAAAAACCCGTCCAGGGGATGCCCCCTGGAAAGACGCTAACAGAAGACAAAAGCAGTTTACTGGTGCTTGCTATTGGGAAAGCGCTGGTTTTCCACAGGGGAGCAGAGGAAAGCCGCATCCTGAGTGGCCCTGAGGCGTGGTGGGGTCTCACTCATGGTCTCCTGGGCCTCGCCTTTGGGGGAGCCATCCACTTGGCCACCAGGCTGTGCCATGCCCACGCCTGGCTCTGTCTGGGGACAGGAGCTCGGAGGGACAGCACTCCTGGGGCCTGCCTGAGGAGGGAGGGAGCAGGCACGTCAAGGACTGGCAGATGGGAGAAGTCAACTCTCAGGAGCTCAGTCTCCCCTTCTGCTCTGTCAGCCCTGGAGGACAGGGACCCTGCCTCATGGGACCCAGGGAGCCGGTGACCTGGTCGAGGCCCTGCTCTGCAGGTCCTCTCTCGTCACCTAGGCCCCCACACACGCTGGCTGTGGTTTCATCTGGGTCCCACCGCCCAAGTGTCTGGCCCCTGGCCTGGGCTCCTTTCCGACTGCTTAGCAACTTGGCTTTTTCAAAGTCACCTCTGTGAGATGGATGACCGGGTCTCAGTGCTGCCGGCAGGCTGAGGCCCTTTGGCTCCTGGCAACTGTGGCCTCCTCATGAGCACTTCCTCTCTTCTTTTCAAGAGAGTTCTAGAAGGACAGAGCAGCCCACCCTCTCCAGCCTGCTGTCTGCACATACTGAACACACCCCGTTCTCCTTTTTGTTTACTGTTCTGGAAGTCAGCAGTACCAGCACAATTGCGTTTTGGGTTTTGCTGCTGGATGCTCCCCACGTCACAACTGCGTTGAGCAGTGGCTTTGTTTGGGGTGCCTGGGGGACTCCGTTGGTTGGACGTCCGACTTCAGCTCAGGTCGTGATCTCGCGGTCTGTGAGTTCGAGCCCCGCGTCGGGCTCTGTGCTGACAACTCAGAACCTGAAGCCTGCTTCAGACCCTGTGCCTCCTTCTCTCTGCCCCTCCCCCGCCCACACTCTGGCTCTCTCGCTCAAAAATAAATCTAACGTTAGAAAAAAAAAAAGAAAAGCAGCAGCTTTGCCAAGACAGCCTCCCTGAGGCTGGGATTCTGGAAGCTTTTTGCCCATTTGGGGTTCCTGTGCCTCATGAGTGCCCTGGCCCGCCTCCCGCGGCTGAGGTCTCCCGAGGTGCAGGCCCGACAGGAGCTGGAATCCAGTCCCTGCACTTTTTGTACTCTAGACACGGGACATGTGGTCCTTGCTCCGGGCTGGGCACTTGACATACGCATTCTCCCCAAACTGTTATCGTGGAGGTGGGAGGTTCGGCAAGCCGTGCCCAGACGCAGCCCGCCTCGGGCCTCCGCCTTCCAGCCCGCCCTTCAGGTTGTGCCAAGCGGGGGTGCCTGCGCTCAGCGTGTGCCAGCGCCCCCCTTCCTTCCAGACTGAGCATTTAGCCACGTCCTGCCCCATACTGGGTCCAGCGGGTCACAGATAGAGGAGGGCGAGCCACCCGCGGGCCGTCGTTCCCAGGCCGTGGGCCCCTGCCTGGAGTCGCAGGCTTCCCCTCTCCTGGAAATGGCCGGGGGTGGTTTGGCCACAGAGGACGGGAGCTTGTTCGCATCAACTCCAAAAACGCCAGGAGGTATCAGGAGGCCCTGGGCGCTCTCCTTGGGCCAGGCAGACCTGAGCCGCAGCCCACCGCCCACCAACCTGCACGCATCCCGCGATCTCCCCCGTAACCTAAGAGCTCCTCCTCCTCATGCTGACAGAACGGTCAGACACACTAACGGCATTTCTCTCGCACAAGGGACTCCCTTCCTCAGTGAGACAGACTGAGGTTTTCTCCATTTCACTTTTTAGAGACGCCAGTTGACCCGCAAGATTCACTCTGCAGCGCGCTACTGGGTGTGGAGAGTGTGCCGCACGGGGCGTGAGGGCTGGGCTCCGTCGGCCACACGTGCTCACTGGTGGCATCCAGGATGGTGGCTGAGCCTTGGCACGCGCGTGGCCCTCAAAGGAGCTCACAAAGCAGGACTCTAGCGCTGGAATACAGTGCAAAAAAGTTTTGTAATAAAACCCTCTCTCCTCCGCTGGTCTAAGAAATTGCTGGAGAAAGGAAAGGACAGCGAGCAACGGGGCCGTCTCACAAACCTCTAGAATAATGGCGTCACTGAGGATAAAGGTCCGCTTGGCCACCCTGCCTAACGTTTCTCTGGTGCAGTGAGCTCTGAGTGCGGATGGCCTGGGATTGGGAGCATGTGACAGAGGGACAGAGCACCAGGACGACGGGGGACTTTTAAAGCCACCCTCTCTCGAATAGCAAAGACCTTCTGGAAATCCACAAAGCCCCGAGATGTCATTTTTTATCCTCAGGAGTCCTCTGGAGACCCCTGCCCTGCCACCATGACTGTGGCGGCAGGCTTGGGGCCAAGAGCCTTCCTCACGTCTGCATTAGAGGTAGACAAGTCACAGCTGCCTACCTCCCCGAGCGTAAAACCCAAAGTCCTTCTGGTGGCGGCTTGTCCCTCCAGTGTGGGCTGTCCGTGGCCTCTAACATCAGCGTCTTTCTCTCCACCTCCTCAGAATCATCAAAGCCACCGCTCCCAGGGAGACCCAGCTGCAGCCCTCAGTTCTCTGACCCGCACCCAGGTCCCCTCACATAGTGTAATAAAAAAAGAATGACGGAGGGGCGCCTGGGTGGCTCAGTCGTTTAAGCATCCGACTCTGATTTCAGCTTGGGTCATGATCTCGCAGTTCGTGGGTTCGAATCCTGCAGGGGGCTCTGTGCTGGCAGCGCGGAGCCTGCTTGGATTCTCTCTCTCCACCCCTCCCCCACTCTCCCTCCCAAAATAAACTTAAAAAAAAGAGGCACCGGGTGGCGGCGCATGATGATTGGCGTCGACTTCACGCTGATCCATGATCCGTGAGGTCGGTGGACCCAGTCGTCGGGCTCTGGGCGTGGCTCAGAGCCTGGGCCTGCCCCGATTCTGTGTCTCCCTCTCTCTCTGCCCCTCCCTGTTCATGCTCTGTCTCTCTCTGTCCCAAAAAAAATAAATGTTGAAAAAAAAAAAAAAAAAAAAGAAGAAGAATGATGGAGACGTAAGACAGAGGCACAGATCTTCAGGTGTGCCAGGATGCCAGACCCTTGGGACCTGGGTGGGCTTAACCTCTTCTTGAACTTGCTGTTACAGGGATCACTCATGGTAAGCTCCCAGTTCTGGCCGCCTCCCTCATCGCTGTCAGATTTGTCCCTCTGGCATGTGCCACACGGTCTGCCTGTCTATGTGCTGCTGGCCGGGACCTGGGCGGTGGCGGTTCCGGGCATCATGAAGCAGGTGGCTGCAGACACTCACACCTGAGTGTCTGCCTTGCACTTCTTTGGGGAATACGCCTGGAGCCGGAAGTGCCTGACAGCAGGGTAGGGGGCGTTCAGCTTCAGCAGATACGGGTTGGGGGACGGGACCCCCGCTCCCTTTTTCGGCAGCAGATGGGATGTTCTCATCCTGTCTGCTGCGCTCACGGTCAGCCCTCCTCGGCGTGGCTCTTCTACAACCCGGCTGTGAACCGGTATCTCCCTGTGGTTTTAACTCACGGTCCCTTGATGGGCAGTTAGGCCAGGCACCCTTTCACGGGTGGAATGGTCACCGGCAACCTCTCTCCGGCACTGCCTGTTCACGTCTTTCTCCTCCCCCAGAGCGGCCTTTGCTGGACAGGTTCACCGCAAACACCTTTCCCAGTCTGTGGCGTGTCTTCTTATTCTCTTGATGGTGTCTTTTGGTGAATGGACCTAACTTTCAATCAAATTCCGACTTACCAATACTTCCTTTTGCACTTGGTGTTTCTCTTGCCCTGTCACACAGGTATTGCGTCTTCTTCGAGAAACGCTGACAATTCAATGTTTTTCTTTCTTTCCTTCTTTGTTTTTTTTTTTAAAGTTTATTTATTTTGAGAGAGACAGAGAGATTGAGCAGGGGAGGGGCAGAGAGAGGGGGAGAGAGAGAATCCCAAGCAGGCTCTGCACTGTCAACACAGAGCCCGATGTGTGGCTTGAACTCAGAACTGCAAGATCATGACCTGAGCCGAACCAAGAGTCAGACGCTTAACCGACTGAGCCGCCCAGGCGCGCCAGACAATTCAACCCTTTTACAGAATTAGAGATGAAGCCAGTCACCCGGAGCAGTGGTCATTCCACCCTACCAGATCCTGTGTGTCTGTGTCCTCACTGAACTAGAACACGGGCCATGAGGGCAGTGACCTCGCCGTTTTATTTGCTGCTCTATCTCTGGCACCTGGAACGAAGCCTGGTACACAGCAGGAACTCAACGTTAGCCGAATGAAAGAAACAGACTGGGGTGAAAGCCTCAGGGCCAAGGAGCAGGGTTCAAACTCGGCTATGACGAAGGTCAGCTCGGAATAAGAGTGTTTCATCGCCCCAACACTGCACGGTCATCTATATACCGCCCTGTTCCGGAAAAGACTGGCACCAACTACCGGGAACCCCACTGCCCCCCAAAAGGATAGAACCGCGACCTCTCTGCATCAAAGACATCATCCATCCATATCCCTAACAGACTGAAACACCAGAGAGGCTTTGAGAGCTGGTGGCAGGCAGGGCTTGGGCACACACCCCCATCCCCGGACTAAGTCGGGGACTTCTCCCA